CATTTCGCTTTCCTGCATATTTTCACATCTCTATTTTCTGACTAATTTTTGAAAAGATGAACTGTGGGAATCATGATTTTTAGGAAAAAGATTTTTAAGAAAAGTGATTTTTAGGAAAAATCAATTTAGGAAAAATAAAAATAAGCTGATCTAAACTAGCCAAAGCACCGATTTTCAATACCTCCAGATCTGCGGCGCCATTCCGGAGCTCTGCGGGCAGACGGACGTTCTGATGGGCATTTCCTCGACCCGGGCGATGTATATCTTATTGGCTATTGTCACGGGTAGTGTGTACGGAGGCGGCGTCTATAGTCATATCTTTGTCTCGGTGCTGCGCGAGAACTGCATCCCTCAGCAGCAATATGAGAGTGCACATACGCGAAGCCTTCGGCGGCATTTTGCGCTAGTCTTCTTGCTTCAGGTAAGAGATGAGGTTAGGTTCGATGCTGGGGCATAGGTACAGGCTTACAAGGGAAGGGCACGCTCACAGGGTGGAGTTTCGAAAAGTCCCGGGTAACGCCCGGGTAATCGACTACGGAGAACACGATGCCGCTGTCCGATTTTGCTACGGAGACCTGTGGACAAAGATACAGCACTTCCGGAAAATGATGATTTGCATGCGAAAAATTAGCATTCCGGGGAAGCCTTATCAGGGTCTCCCACGAGTCTTCGAACTAAAATTTTCGAAAAAGTTTTTCTTTGTTCGCTAAACGTTTCATACGGCATCAAGAATGACTTTTGACGCATTTAGACAAGGTTCTGGACTTGTGCAAAAAAAGTTGTCAAAAGGCAAAACGAAAAAAACGTGAGAAAAACGTGATCTGTGCCCTGGCCACTATCCTAACAAGCTAGTTGCTTACCACTCGGCCACTCAATTGGTGGTACCATACTCATGGGAGGCCCTAATAAGGCTTCCCCGGAATGCTAGTTTTTCGCATGCCATGATCATTTTCCGGAAGTGCGTATCTCTGTCCACAGGCCTCCGTAGCAAATTCGGACAGCGGCATCGTGTTCTCCGTAGTCGATTACCCGGGGTCAGCCGCGAGCGTTTGTCGAAACTCCACCCTGTGAGCGTGCCCCTTCACTTGTTAGGCATAGGTTTAGGCGTCGTCTCTGGCCCTTTTCTCGGGAATTTTTCTAATCGACAAACTGTACGATTTGAAACCATCACTAACGAAACTTTCCAGTCCGCGGTTCTATTCGGCCTTGTCATCGGCCCATTTGGGTTCGTCTTTCTCGTGGTATTCGTTTTCCAGGACTGGCCCGCATTGCCATTTTTGGATTGGCTTTGTACTTGTGGGTCGAAAAGCTGTCTGGTTTCCGCGATGCTTTAGGTACCGGTGTAACGCCGTTATTCGCTTCTCTCCACTCTGTGGTTAATCACCTGATTATAATTTTTGCGACAAAAAGCTATCGGCGGCGGTTGTGGCTATTGGTGCGGCCGAAAAGATGCCGAATCAGCAAACACGAAATCCCGAATCAGCAGTAGTCGCCAGAGCAGCGTGGTGTTCGTGGTCGGACTTTAAGATGAAGCTCTCTCCATTCTCTCTCTCTCTCTCTCTCTCTCTCTCTCTCTCTCTCCCTGTCAACCTTTCAATCGCTCTTTCTCTCTCGCTCCCTTTGTCCCATTCAGAAATAAATATACACTTTCCCGTCACCTCGGTTTTTGGCCGAGCTGATGGCAAGCAGGTGCTAAGACAGGCCGTTGCGGCCACATTGGATTCCAGCAACGGTTTTCCAGCTGCTAGACTTGAATTAAGTCTATATCAGCGGTCTCATTACCGACCGCTGATATAAACTTTGTACCAGCGATGGCTCGATAATCAGCGCTTTCTATTCGGCAACCGACTTCCCGAATCGCTAATCATTTTTCGTGTCCGAGAACGGCCTACGTTTCGTAAACTCGCAGACGACGTTGATTTTGGTACGCAAGGTCCAATAGTTTTTGCGGCGAGAGAGAGAGGCGCCAGAGCTACAGCAAGCGATGAAGAGTCAGAGAGGGAGAGCCAGAGAGGGCGAGAGACAGAGAGTTTGCGAAGCAGCAGAGAACGAAACCCGCTCTTTTCGTCGATAACTAACACTTGTCCGGCCACTTATGCTCCTCTACTTCAAATAACTTCAATTAAAAGGCCGTTTGGGAGCCACACGAACAAGGCTTGGCGCAGTTTTTTCCGACCCGATTTTTTTTTCATCTGAAAGAGCATGGTCGAATTAGTAGGGTGATATGGTTTTGGAAGTTTAAAAAGTTAAATTTCGGGTTAAAATGGGCCACAAAGTTGCCTCCTTCGAAAAACCATCCTGAAAACTACTGAACCAAGCAGGCCCAAAATTTGTGTCAATAGCTAATTTGGGGAGGGGATCATTTCTTTCATAAATTGTGAAGCATGAAAATGGCCGCAATATGGTTAAATAGCCTACTAAAAACAGTTCTTGACATTTTCGATATTTTTGGATGGTTTGCGAAAGCTGATTATTACACGAAAAGATGCGCCTTATTTTTCTGCATCGAATGATGTATAGCTTATTGAGCGCGAACCACCCTAAAAATTAATTTTATTCACTTTTATGTGTGAAGATGGTGGTAAAACTGACCCCAAAAAAATGAAAATGTTTGATGACGGGAAACCTGAGATATAGAATTGCATCTAGAGGCCGAGCCGAGTCGATTGCAAAAAAAAGCAAAACGATTTTCCACTTATTTGGATGTCGTGGAACCGAACCCGGACCCTTCGCCTGGGAGCCCTGTGGCGCAATCGGTAGAGCGCCGGCCTGCCAATCCAGAGCTGGCGCCAGTTCAATCCCAGCCCCCCCTCAGAAACCGAATTTCTTTTTGCTCTGTGCTGCAAAAAAAACTGTGCCAGGTCATATTGGGGCCTGTTCGGATGAGTCGCGGACGGCCTTTTAATACCTCGCCCTTTTTTCCGGGTTCAAGCAAGTGCCAACGGCAAGGCCACCGCAATAAAACAAGTGTTATGCGCGTAGATCGGGCGCCTCATTCGGGCGCTCATCTATTTTGTCGTGTCTCCAGGGCAATCTGCCCCCCATTCGAGGGCCCATCTTCATTTTTATATGGAAAGCTGCCGGGGGCCAGACGTCGGCAGCGTCTCAAAATTATCCGCCGGCTTCGATATTTTACTCAAGAGCGCTGTTGTCTATGCTTTGGCAATATTTGTGCTATGGAATCCAGGTGTTCTTATTTATCGAGGTTGCGGGGGTAAGTTATAAAAATATTTAACTACGAGTTTAACTCTTGATATGCGTTTTCTTTCGATCTAACTATTAGCCTTTTTAGTACATCAACTACACGGGCAAGTACTGGATTGTTCGGCAAGATCTCACCGCTTCTACCAATTTTGGATACGAGACGGTCCAAAATTGCATCAACCTGGGCAGTGCGTGTGCCGGATTTTCAGGAGGTATTTAAAAAATGTTCCGACTTTTAACTTTCAGATGGCACATTATACCCTCAAGCTACAAAATGTCAAGCCGAATTTTTGCTCTACATTTCGCAAGATGCATCAGTAGTTGAATCGACTTGTCATCAGCTGACCAACGGTATCTAATTTTTATCGCTTTTTCTTTGCCTCTCTTTCTCTCTCTCTCTCTCTCTCTCTCTCTCTCTCTCTCTCTCTCTCTCTCTCTCTCTCTCTCTCTCTCTCCTCTCTCCTCTCTCTCTCTCTCTCTCTCTCTCTCTCTCTCTCTCTCTTTCTCTCTCTCACTTTCTCTCTCTGGCCTCTCTCTATTTCTCTCTATATCATTGTCTCCCTCTCTCTCTCTCTCTCTCTCTCTCTCTCTCTCTCTCGCTCGGACGCTCCCGAGAAATACGTGGATAAAAACTGGCAAAAGAAGTTTTTTAGCGGCCGTCGACTATACCATCAATGGCACAAAGTTCTACAACCAACAAACAAATTGTACATCCGCATCGGTAACCCCACCATCGCTATACCTTATTTTTGTCAATTTTTTTGATGATAAAAAGTTGTTTAGAGCTGTGCCACGATGTGCGACAACATGGGGCTCTCGGAAATTTCGATCCACTCGGCGAATGAAAATGCGGCAATTAGGGGTGGGTTTTCGGGATCAATCGAAATGATTTATACATTCCATAGCCGCTAAGAATTGGGTTTATAATCTGTACTGGTTCTCAGGAAACGTGAGCGCGACAACGTCCTGCGGCCAAATCGGAGGCGCAAATCAATTGGTGCACCTTGCGATCACCAAGAACGCGAAGAACCTACCCATCTGGGCGTAGGGAACACATTTCTATATCGCTATTTATCGTTCAGTGATGGAACGCCGTTCGACTACAATTACGCGGCCTTCAATAATTCGTGGAAAACGAGCTGTGCAGGAGCTGTGGTAAAGTTTGCACAAAATCCCACTAGTGTATCCTGGAATTAGCGGAGCAACCTAATAGGTAGAAGCAGAGAGGGAGAGAGAGAGAGAGAGAGAGAGAGAGAGAGCGAGAGAGCGAGGGAGAGGTAGAGAGTAGAGAGGAAAGAGATAAGAGAAAAAGTGAGAGCGAGAGACAGAGAGAGAGAAAAAGAGAGAGAGACAGAGAAAGAGAGAGAGATATAGAAAAAAGAGAACGTTAGAGAAAGAGAGAGGTAGGGGAGCTATCCGCGGATTCTAAGTACCTTTAGAAGCATTTCGTCTGTAACGCCGTGTTGCTTGAAAATAACACGAGCCCTGGAAACCGCCAACTTAACGTTCAGTTGATAATTTTACACCTTAGATGGCCGGTAACGGCACGTGGACACCAACCGGCTGCGCAGGCGATACAAATACCTATATGGCCGCTTGCGTCTGCTTGAAAAGGCCGGCCAACTATGCGGGGTGACGATAAATATTTTGGCACCGTGTTCGCCGAAATTTGGCAAAGGATTATACCATTTTTCTGCGCATTAAATCGTCGCGGCGCCGCAATTTGAATCACCAAATCTCCCAGTTTATTCCCCCAAAAAAAAACCCGAAAGCCAAATTTGCACAGCGTGCTTCTAGGACAGATCCTTGGCCTCAAAATCTTGCGTATGGTCGATGTGACCCTGAATCGAGTGAATTCAATATTGCTTCAATTCAATAACCTGGTTGTTAAGTATATCCATCGTGATATTGGCCTTTGTTTTACCGGCTTCGAATTTTCCTTGAAGCTGAAAAATTTATTTTGGCGGTTCTGGCTAAAAAATCTTACAGAGATAAACTGGCGGTCGATCGGGCCCTTGATGTTTTCAATCGTTTTCTGAAAACCTTGTTTTCTAACGGAATCGGTGAAAGTACCGTTGCTCCCTCGTGATCGAATTCGACAGAGTAATGCCCATATTTTCTAAAATTGTATGCAATAAAATTTGAAATGACTCTCACTCTCTAACAGCCACATGAAAGCAGGCGGAATAGCCTTTTTCGGAGCTTTCTGGGCGCAGTCGGGAGGTGAAGTGAACTGTGTCCACCCCCTAAAGGCTTCTGGTTGTAGCTTGATGTCTTAAAACCCTGAATGATTCAAAACCTGCTTTGTTTCTGGAGATAAAACGGAGGTCGCGCTCCCTGCGTCGGATTTGCACTCCAAATAGGAAATCACGATCGGCTCGCACTGTGAATGGTGGACTGTCGTGGATGACCCAGAATCTGCAATTCGAATAATGTGAGAGCATGAGAATGAGAGTGTGAGAGCAGAGCGAGAGAGAGAGATAGAGAGAGACAGAGGGAGGGAGAGAGAGGCCGAGACACAGAGGAAGAGAATGAGTGAAAGAGACATAGCATGATTTTGAGAGAGTGGTGAAAGAGCGATGAGAGAGCGAGAGCTAGAGAGAGAACGAAAACGACATTGAGAGAGAAAGACAGAGAGAGAGAGAGAGAGAGAGAGAGAGAGAGGGAGAGTCGATCTCCCCAGCCCAAAAAAATTTCCAGCCTTTCCCCTTACGGTTCCTGGTTGTGTGGTTGAATCTGACGAAGACAAATATGGAGCGTAATGTTGCCGAGCAGCTCATGCGTCTTGTCAATCCCGTAGAGTCGCCAATTTGGCGGCGTCGGACCCACTGAATTCGGCCTTTAGCGGGGATTGCAGGGACGGAAAGTCTACGATATTTTTCGGCGCAACTTACGCTGGAATTTCTCCTTCTGATTGGTCTGTGTCCCGTGAATGTACTCCACGAGGTCGTTCATATCACACTCCGGGGCGTGCAGGCCACGCGTTTGCATTCGGTCTATCGGGTGCAGGGCCCTGGAAAAATTCAATGGTGAGAAAGTAAGCTTAGACCTATGCGTCGGCTATGCTTATGCCTAAGCCTAAGCCTAAGCTTAAATCTAAGCTTAAGCCTAAGGCTAAGCCTAAGCTTAAACATGAACCTGAGTTAACAAGGAGTCGCTTTTAGGTGCTTTTTGAGTTTCGGGACGGGACCTAGCTAGTTCGATAGAGAAAAAAATTCTGAGCAACATCCCGTTTTCAAAAAGTGCTGATCGATAAAGCTGTTTTAGAAAATTTAATTTAATTAAAAATGTTCCCGCTGTCCGGACCCTTGTGGTGATTTGAGGTTATTTGCGGCGGTCGACCGCCCCCGCCACATGAGGACACCACGCGCCTTGGATCCCGTCCTACGCATGGCCAAGTGGCTAGTGCGATGGCCTACGAATTTTTTTTACCTTTTGCCACAAGTTCGATTCTTATTTATCGTTAACTCTGTGCTTTTTTGTTAATTAAAATTTTATGCACCGATAACGGGTTCAACAACCAAAAAGCAAAGGGTTAGCCAGCGCGAAGATTCGAACCCGAGGCAAAAAAATGTTAAAAAGCTGGTAGGCAAGCGCGCTACCAATGCGCCAATGCAACCTGTGATGGAGGCATTGGCGGAGGGCTACGAATGGCGCCCTGCACAGCCCCGAAAACGGAGAGAACCGAGGAAATGGTCGCGAAAACTAGAAAAAAGCGCGAACTTTAAATTAAATTTTCTAAAACACCTTTATCGATCAGCACTTTTTGAAAACGGGATGTTGCTCAAAATTTTTTTCTCTATCGAACTAGCTAGGTCCCGTTCCGAAACTCCAAAAGCACCTAAAAGCGACTCCTTGTAAGCCTAAGCGAAGCGTAAACCAGGCTTAAGCCTATACCTAATGCCATACGATAGAAGAAATTACCCATTAATCTGCGCCCATTGGGCCGCAGCCGCGATAGCGTCGTCCCGGATCTAAAAAGCAGGAAGAAAGCCTTCATTATAATTGTCACTGGCTTACCGCCACATAAAATAATTCATTATCCACAGAGAAACCCTCGTAGGCGACCGGCTCTTCGTTATTCGTACTGACGTAGTACTGTGAATCGGCGTTACGTCTGTAAATTGGCTGCCTTAGTGTTCTACGGCGCCAGCTCGCAAAGATCTTCTAGCAAATCGAACACAGCCTTAAAAATGCCCCACAACAGTATTTTTCATGTTTGCGACGTTACGTTTTTTACTTACTCTACCGTCACCTTCGTGGCGTAGCAATTGCATTTCGGGATCCTTTCATAGGGTTTTATATCCAAATAACGCTCGGAATCGGGCCAGCCCTAGATGTAAATTTTACGGTATGGTTTTATTAAAAAAAATACCTCACGCAACTGCCCAAATGTCACATGTGGTTTTGGAGTGGTGGTAATGTTGATTTGAAAGGCTATATTTTTCAGTCGCGTGATCGGCAATGGTTTTTCCACGAAGTTGATTTGCATCCTGTAGACGATAACCGTCAATTTTTAAAAATACAAACTCCGGAGCACGACTAAACACCCAGATGTCCACTCGGCTATTGTTGACGAAGCCGCCACGAATGCCAAAGTACGGCCCGGCCATGAGGTCTTGGCCATCGACTAGAGGTATTTCGAGGGTTTATAAATCGGCTATCAAAATTACAAGCATCAAAGACACCATTGCAGAAATACAGTAGCCCAAAGAAAGATGTCAGCCGGGCAAGGAGGTGCATTTTAGGCGGGGCGAATAGTGAAGGCTACGAAATGGCAAAACAGAAAGTCGCAGCATGCATGAAAAATTAAATTCAGGACGCGAGATGGGGCAGAGAATTGAATGTATTTTTGGGAATAGTGATGTGAAGGTATTAAATATTAAACGTATTAATTATGTATTAAAAATAAATTAAAAAAGGCCAATTTAGGTTTTTGTTTTATGATATAGTGGTCTCGATTTCCGGCAGTATGACTTCTCTAGTACTACCGCGCTCTCTCGCGCTTTCTCTCCCTATACCTCCCTCTCTCGCTGGAACGCATGGAATGCAACTGCCACATGCAACTGGCATTTTGAATAAAACGTACGAGTTCATCTAGGCGACCTTGTGAAATCGTAATGAAGGGTGTTGGGAATTACACTACATATCACGGTCAGCGCGCTCTATGTGACATCTGCCGTTCTGAATCGATTAGCGTGTTCCAGTGCTAGTCCGACCTTTCTGGCAGTTTATTCATCCAAACCAGATCGATTAAGCCTGATCCACGCCCAAAAGCGAGAGAGAGAGAGAGAGAGAGAGAGAGAGAGAGAGAGAGGAGAGAGCTATACGAATAAGGCTGTTTTTGTGTTAAAATAAAAAATTCGCATGCATTTAAGGAAATTCTATGCAAAAAAAAATACATTTATTCCATTCTCATTGCGGCCCAAACAAGAATGCCTTCACTTTCGGATTGTATGGCCATGGGATCGCCCGCATTGCCAGGTGTAAATCCAGATAATTGCGGTCGATGACCACCACAAGTATGTCGCCATTGCCCCGAACGATACGGTGATACAGCGGGCGGTTTCCGAATTCCCGAAGGCTCGGGTAGCACCGGAGGAACTTTGGGAGTTCGGGGTTGCAGAAGAGCAGTATGCGTTCTATGTGGCGCTCCTCGTTTAGCCACTCCTTGACCACCATCTCTACGTATTTTTCGACTTGGTGATCGAGCCACGAGATTTGTTGTAGCGCCATTTTGGGCACTTTCAGCCGGATATAGTCTGGTAGGGGACCGGAAAGGGCTGGAGCTTCCAGGATCGTCACGGAGGCGCTCATCCAGTTCAGCAACTCCTCATTTGGCTGCACGTTCGCTTTGTAAATGAGATATTCGCCGGTAGGTTTATGGCGTTTTAGCAGCGAGAGCAGGTCTTTCGGATCATAATCCACAAAATTCAAATCCTGGCACCGGAGGTCCATGTTCTCTGGAACCGAGCCCCGCATGAGCAGCACCTCGACGGTCGAATTGTGGAAGAGCAGCCGCACGGTTTTTGGGCTTTTAATGGCCAATCTTTCCGGTTCCTCGTCAACAATTTTGAAAATTTGCTGGCTTGTGGGGGTCTGGAGGAACCAGACGTTCCAGAATTTTCCTCGGAACTGCGTGGCCATCTCTGACATTTCCTTGCTTGTTATGGCCGTCTTGAAGAAGCTTTTCAAATCCATCTGTCGGAGGATGTTGTGCTGGATTTCGATTGGGAGTTCGCGGAAGTCGATTACTGTCTGAAATTGGGGTATTAGAATTGGGATGGCAAACCGGATTGGCAAGGAAATTAAATTTATCGAAATGTAATTTTTGAAATTTAGTTTTTCGAAATTTGGATTTTTCTTAAGATGCCATAGCTCCTCTTAATTAACAGTTTGTTCCGAGGTCTCCGCTAAATATGTAACAGCGCCAAGTTAAACTCGCCTTCACCTCCGGCTCCGATTCCTTTTGAAGCTTCTTCCCTTTCGTTTTACAAATCAATCTGCTGAACAGTTTGGAGACGTCGCGCCGGAGTTCTGGGAAGGGGGCCATGATGAAACCTTAATTTTTATCCTTAACTTCTGAGTTATTTTTAGGCAAGCAAATTCCAAAAGTATACCGAAATGGCTCAAAAGTTCGAATCCTCTTTGCGGCAAGAGATGGATTTCCGATATCTGCATTACCCAACCACATCTGCTATCTACGGGAGTCGGCACCGCCTTCCCTCCTCAAAGTGTTTACATAGCTTTTCTAGCATGTAAATGTCTCAAAAATCTGTTTTATAACAAAATCCTGTACGTTGAAACTAGACTGTATGCACCGTTTATTAACATAAAAAACGAAGGCTGTGAAGCTGTGGAACCGGCCGTCGCTTAGCGGATCTCTAAAATCATTCTAACGCGTTTCCCACTTGTTTTTATTACCTCGGGTCAGTTTCCCTTCCCCGCCGTGCGCCTCAAATTTATCGGTATTGATGATTTTCCCCTAAATCATCATCAACTATAATAAAAAGGTAGTGGTGTCCGTCTGTGCGTCTGCAGCCGAATTCAACTCGAAGGGGAAAGGAGCTAGAGCTTAGGTCTCTTCGGATTCAGATAGAGCGTGGTCAGAAACCCCCAAATTGATCAAAAAAATTATAAAAAAAGTTTTGGTTTAAACTATTAAAATTAACTTTGGAAGTTTTTTCCTTAGTAAAAGGGGTGGGGGACGGAGGTTGGGGTGATTTTGGACATAGTGAGCCAGGTGGCGCGCGTTTCGTGGATGAAAATTTTCACCGGAGCCATTCCACTTATTTTTTTCTTCCATGTATCCGGTCGGCCGTTATTTTCGTTTTTAAGAGGATTTCGGTTAGGGAGATATCTAAGGCCATCAGTAAGGTATCTTAGTAGCTTTTTTAAGGGCGTTGCGGCTATGGGAGTCGCGCAGCTACTGTAACCACCTGGTTTTGTTATAATTTATAACCCTGTGAAGGTTTGCTGTGAATTACTTACCTGGCTGTCGAAATACTCGATGCTCATTTCGGCTTTTGTTTTCTCGGTGCCAAATTTGCCTTGGAACTAAAACAAATTTGATTTTTGTGGTTTTTGATACCACTTATTAGCAAAATCAACATTTTTGAGACCAGTAACCGACTATTTGAAGATCACCAACATAAAAGAGAATTATAGACCCACTGAAATAAACTTATGCGCAACTGGCCCCTTGATGCCGCTCGCCGTAAACTAAAGTAAGTCTTTTTACACACGTCAAAACCACTTACAATGGCTTCCTCGTATTTCCAGGTTACGGTATAGCTACCAGCGGATCTGAAAAAATTATAGAACCCGCAAAAAAAGTCAGACTCTTTGATTTCCACATCCACGCAAGCCGAGTAGAGCCCATTGCTCCCGGGCGGCTTCAGCTTGGCGGTTCCGCGGACAATGTCGACGCCCTGGAAATCGATAAAATTGCGTAATGTTGTTTTCGCACTTTTTCACGAGATACAAAACGTAGATCTTCTTCACGCCGTCGAATTTCAATGCCAAACAGAAAATCGCGGTCAGCACGGATGTCGAATGGTGGGGTGTCGTGGGCTACCCAGAATCTGAAATTGCAGAATTGGCGACACACGCTCTGGAAAAAAACGATACCTTACCGTATTAGAGTAATTCTACCGTAACCTACCGTTCCATCTTTTGCGGGACAATGTCATGAAGGCAAATATGTAGCGTGACGTTGCCCAAATGGCGTGCGTCTTCCGACTTTCCTCCAAGCCTTTTGTGAGGTGGTAGTGGGCCCACTAACAGGAGAAACCTAAGCCTAAGCCTAAGCTTAAGCCTAAGCCTTCGCCGAAACCTAAGCCCGAGCCTAAGCCTAAGCCTAAGCCTAAGCCTAAGCTTAAGCCCAAGCCTAAGCTTCCGCCGTAATAGGTATAAATCCGTCAAACCAAGATCAAGCCACCCGGTTATTCATTGTTCCCAAAAACAAGTTGGTGAACAATTTGGTGAGCGAGCTTAGCAAAAAAAACAAGTTTTGCTCTGAAAATTGGCTTAATCAGGCACGGGCACCGCCAGATTTCAAAGCGGCCTTTGCTAGTACGCACTTTCCATCCCCTTTAAAATGAAATGTCTTACAATCAAAAGTAATCCCATCCGCTCGACTCTGCTTTATAAACTTTAGCGGAACGTTAATGTCAAAATCCGGGGCAAAGTCGCCTCTTGTCTGAAGTTGCGGTAGTGCCAAAATGTCGCCCTTTGCGCCGGTTGTATCATACTGAATTACAGCTACCATCGACTCCGTATCCACCTGGAATTCTTAAAAGCCTACTTTCCAAGCTTACCGCCAGATAGAAAATATCTTGCGTGAATGATATAACATTCCCACGGACCGGCTCCTCTCCATAGACGCCAACATTGAAGGTAGAGTCTTCATTTCGACTGTAAGGTATAGGTTGTAGTTTGTAGTCTAGCATTACGAAAGTTTCAGCTCGACCATGTAACAATCGGCTTCCTTGATTCTTCGATACTCGCTCATGTTATGACGGTGAATGGTTTGAGGTTGGCCCTAGGTTTTTGTGCCTCTCTCTCGCTCCTCAAATACCTCTACTTTCGACCCCATCTTGAAAAACGGCTGCCCATCCCCGCCGGTGATATTGATTTGGAACGGGATGTTGGCCTGGGATTTTGAGGGAAACGGCGTTTCAGCAAAGAATAGTTGAATGCTAAAATTCTTCATTTTTTGCCTTTAGTATACGCCGTACTCTGGGTGTTTCGTGAAGATGTAGATGTCCATACGGCTGTTATTAACAAAACCACCCCGGATTCCAAAATACGGCCCCTTGACTACATCCTTGCCATCGACTAAAAAGCACAACTTCGGAGGCTTTAGCTATGAAATACGATTTTTAAATCCAATTTTCTTACACGTATCGTAAACAGCCCAGCATACCGTAGTCAACGATAGAAAAAGAAAGACAAGTACAATTTTTATCCACATTCCAAAATGTCGATAGAAACAGGACTGAATCCGTAACAACACGCCGAAGGTTTTCAATTTTGAAGTGGACACGGGTCTAAAAAGCCGGATATTAAAAATCGATTTTGATATTGTTACTCTCGTAAATGTTTGGTTTCAGATCTTTAAAATATGCTTATTAAATTCATGTGTACCTGCTGTTTTCCCCTGTAATTTTGGACTGTACTGTAGTGTTTCTCATCACGCCCGAAAAATCTTTATCTCAAGGCACAATACCGCGAATCACATGGCATAAATATCGGGCGACGGGGCAATGAAAAATGCGATAGAGTTTTTAGTGCTTCTTGTGCTTCTTGTAGCGCCACACGCGGCACTTTTTCGGCGGGTTCATCGGCGAGTTCAGCTAAAAAAGGAAGATCAGAAAAGTCGCACAAAGCTCACCGGGCACTTGAATACTTCCGAGAACTGCTTCGAGTTTCTCATCATCTAACAAAAAGAGAATTATTGGTTCAGAATTTAAAAAAATACAATGTTGAAAGTCGGCTCCCACCTCATTCATGCGAATTTTGCCTGGTGGATGGACATCGGCGAGCAACACGCGCAGCTGGTTGTCGCCCTCATGCGCGCAGTGCATCTACGGCCACAAAATTTTCAGGCCCATTGTCACCTCTACCAGCCCGGCGGCTACATAGAAGAGCTGATCGGGGGTGTACTGCTCGAGCCCCTTGAGCGCGGGCGGATCATTGCCGTACAGCCGATTGCGCTCCGTACGATAGGCCTGAAAAGGTCCACAAAATTGTGCTGCCTGTAGCCCACATACCCTAAAAGACGTGCGCAGGCCCATGTTGTCGGCGATCGCCTCGCCATCCGTGAGCTCCCCGGGTTGCTAAAAGTATAGAGAATTCAAGCTATTCGAGATTAGAGAAGTGCAACAGTTCTTCGGTTTCAATTTTTGTAAAATAAAATTGAAGGAATTTTTCTAAACTGTTGTTGGTATTCCTAAGCACCCATTTTTATGGTTTTTCTGGCTTTTCTCAAGGTGCTTTAAATAATTAACAAAATTGTGTTTTAGGTTCCGCTTTTCAAATATAAACAGTGGAAGTGTATTTAAATTAACATTTTTTACTATTGACAAACGTTTAAACTTTACAAAGTTTTCATAAAAAAGCATAGCTCTCGAATTTTCGGCCTATAATGGCCGTTTTTTTTGCCAACATTTCAACTCCAGTTCTCCGGTTTTCAATTTCATCCCCACTTCCGGTCTATGCTAATTTTTCTAACAAAGAAGATTTCACAAAAACTTAAATTTAATGTCGAAAATAGGTGATTTTGTTAAATCTGATATGCGTGCAGTCATCTCCAGGCCATTACGCACATAATGACGTATCATACGTACTTTAAAATCCATCCCCAATCAAGATATCCTCCGGACAGACAGACGGAAGTGGATGCAAAGTGGCACACACACACATACAGACACTATTTGTTTATATATAGTAGGATATAGTTTTATTTTACCAATAACGTTATTAAAACATTTCCTGTTAAGCTGTCTATACCAAAAAAAGTTACCGAGAAGGTGCCGTTGCTGAATTCATAGGGTACGGTCGCGTTTTCATATTGATGCTGGATACACTCGACTTGTGCGTCATACTGTTGATTGTCCTCAGGGCCGACGAGAACCGACCGGTTGTAGGCCAGTACTAAATTTTATTGTTGGTACTGGACTCTTAGCATGGAGCACTTACAAGGAGTGCTTTTTTTGAGTCATCGGCAAAACCTTACGAGACCTAGCTCAATCGATAGAGAATTCGATTCTGAACAAAACTCCGTTGTTCCTTTTTGCAGAATGGCTATCCCTGATTTTATAAAATTAAAATACTAGCGACCGGCTCTTACCATGAGTGCTTTTCGAGCCAAAAGAGAGGCTTTTGGGTGCAGTTTTAAAATTTGATAAATTCAGGGATAGCCATTCTGCAAAAAAGAACCACGGGGTTTTGTTCAGAATCGAATTCTCTATGGAATGAGCTAGGTCTCGTAAGGTTTTGACGATGACTCAAAAAAGCACTCCTTGTTAGAATAGGCGTATCGGGAAGAACATAACGGGCGGACAAGGATGCCCGATTTTTGCATAATCGGTTGCGCAAAAAAGTTAGAAATAACAAGTCTTACTATTGTTATCGAAGGTGTGGGCCAGCTCATGGCCGATGGTCAGCCCCATGCCGCCGTAGATGACCTCGAGGGCGGCATCCGGGTAGTAGTACGGCTCTTTGACGAGGCCCCAGTAAACGGCTGAAAACGTGCTTTTCAATAGGTATATCTGAAGTATAGTACTGGGTGTCCCAAAAAAAAGCACCCCCCTATAGCGGTCCGTGGGAAGCTCAGATCAGGATGATTTTTATACCATTCGAAAGCCCGTGAAAAGGCGAGGAAACAAGCGGGCTTCATTTTCTAATATCGTCCGATATTCAGCGTTTTTCTAAAAAAACAGGTAATTTTTCAATAGGAATTTCGCAATTAGCATGCGGATCTCGCGTAAATCTGCCGTTTTCGTGCAATTTGGAGGTAAAATTCGCCAATAAAAATACATAATAAAGAAAATGAACCCTCCATGTTTTCTCGCCTTTTTGAGAGCTTTCGATAGATACCTAAACGGCGTGAATCGGACATGTCTGCGCGCCGCTAGAGGGGGGTTTTTTTTTGGGACACCCTGTAGAAGATCGTGGCCCTAAAGGTCATTGCGTTGAAATTTAGCTAAGAAATTTTTCTTGCTACAAAGAGGTATTTTGATCACGAAAAATAAACCACTCTAACATAGCTTACTGATAAAGTCCACGGCGTTGTGCGCGTTGTAGATGGTTTGAGTCAATTGGAATGCGTTCTGAAATACAAGGGAAAATCAGGAAGCCCCGCTGCGGCCCACGCCATATTTGTGCTCGTATCGGAAGGCGTAGAGGGCCTCGGCGTATTCAAAGTAGGTTGACTTTGAGGCGGGAGTGTACTGGAAAATTGATTTTCGGTTACGAAAGTGATGGACCTCTTTGTAGAAATCGTCGAGCTGCGCGGGGCTCCAGGTGAGCTGGTCAATGCCGACGTATACGGGCATGGTTTCAAGCTGGAATGAATAAAGTGAGAGAAAGCGAGAGAGAGAGAGAGAGAGAGAGAGAGAGAGAGAGGAGAGAGAAACCAAACCTTTTCAAACGCACCTTTTCTATGACCCTGTCCTGAGTTGGTTGATCGGCCCACGGACTCTCGCGGACGACTTCGGCAAACGCTTTGCGAACTTTCTCGCCAAGTTCCTGAAATTTAAGCTTTAAGTTGGGAAACCAGGTAATTCCGATAGGTTTAGCCCGTTTCTCCGTCTGACAGAAAATACACCTCAATACGCTGGCGATTTTCCCGGTCATACACGTGATCCAAGGCGAACGAGTCGACCCATCGCGGATGCGTCATAATCGTCTCGACATCGAAATTTGATTTCTTTTGCAACCAAATCCTTACAATTTCCAGACAGTGCCGCTCCAGATCGAAGCCGAGGCCTTGGAAGTCCTAGCGATACGTAGAAAACCTGGTACTGCCTATTTACCTGGTAGCTAGGGCCGAATTTAGTGGCACTTCCGAGAAAATATTCCACTATCATCACCTCGACGACGGTATCTGGGTCTTGGATGAATATTTGCTCGAGCTGGAAAAGGAAAATATTTTTCTCGCCGGCGCGCTCTCTCTCTCTCTCGTCCTATCTCTCTCTCTCTCTCTCTCTCTCTCTCTCTCTCTAACCCGCTCCAAGCCCACCTTCGCAAAATAACTCGAGTGTTCCATCCAGTTCCAAAACACGGACCCGGGGCTCTTCCAGCGGAACATCGCCTCAACTATCGCCTCTAACTCGAGCTGAAAATTGGCAGTTCGTGCTAAAACACATCTGTTCCGACTAGTAATACGTGCATAATACCCTATGCTTAAGGATTTAATTCCGCAATTTATACGGTCGACACTCTGTATTTTCCCAGCTCGTGAAAACTATCCCACCCTTGGCCAACGGGCATGCGTCACATTTAGCGCTTCAGTGGTGTAATCGTAGGGCGACGTGAGTTTGGCCTATATATCGATCGTTAGGAAGTTGACTCGTACCTCTTCAACAAGCGCCAACAATGTCACGTAACGCTGGGCGCCCTCGACCACGCGCCGCTCGTCGATTTCGTAGCCAAAATCGGTGGCTAGTTTCTTCGCTAACTAAAAGAAAAAGCTTCCAAGGAAAATCCAAGGGTGGAAATCTGCATGTTAGATCCACCGTTCGATAGAAATTTAAAAAAAAAAACTCAAACCAGAACCGCCACCCTTAAAGTACGTTTAAGGCGATTAATGCCTAAGGTTTTATACCGAAGAAGTAAACTATAGTGCACCTTTTCGACCCATGGCCCGTACGCATCGAGGGCCCGCGGTGCACGTGGTGCAGACCGGGACAGGCCAACCCCGAAAAATATCCCATCATGACCGACGTATTGGTCACGCATCTGGAAGAAGGGTGAGGCGCCGTGGACGAGCTTGATCGTCTCGGCAAGTGACGGGCGATTGGTGCCCAAGAATGGGGGACCGCCTAGCTTCTCCACGATTTCGCGGAACGGGCTGGAAAACGAAGGATATAAGACCCTAGGTATGGCGGGCAGTAGTAGCGAATTACAGTAATCTGTAAACAATCGGGTTCTGGAATGTTAGCAGGGGACTAAGTTGTTCTCTGTGATTCTCTATGACAAAATATCACGATTTTATCGCATTTTACATAGTTTTTAGATACGAAAACAATAATACAAATATAAGATTTCGCAAATATTTGACTTTTTGGTCCAAAATGACCAAAGGTGAAAGTGACCAAACAAAGGTCAAAATTTTCTAATTTTCAAAATTGAAAAAATCATTTTATAGCTTTCTCGCAACCAAAAACTATTAAAAGACTATAAAATACGGAATATATCATCAACGGGTCAAAAAAGTGATTTTCCCCCTACAAAAAAAAATTTTTCCCCGGTAACAGTCCAGAACCAGCAATCGATCCTGCAACGTACTTGACGCCGTCGTTGCGGGTCTCCAGGCACAGCCGGTGTGCATAGTGGACAACCCGATCGGCTAGGGACGCCGTTTCGTTTGTCGGTACACGCTTCAGGAATTCTAAATAGTTACCATAGGCTTATCAATATCATAACAACATTTTTACGGACTGACGAAAAGTATACCTCTGATCGGTTCGTTGATGGCGACCTTCATTGAGTCGGTCAACGATATGATGTTGACGCCGCGAGGAAGCGGGTGGTCCTAGACAGTAAAAAAGTTGTTCTTCTGATTCATGCCAGGCAGGGCTAGGTAGGGTCAGAATCAAATTTTAAAATGGCACCACATTACCTCAAGCCACTTTCCGCAGGCAAACTCGTAAAAATCTTCGCACGGGTTGACCCTTGGCTGAATCATGCTGAGCTAAAATAAATTGCGCATATGATATCAATCGATTCCTACAAAAGTTTTTGCCGACAATTTGCACCCATCCGTCTGGCAGTAGCGTCCCGGTCCGATAGGCGGGAGGTCCGGCACATCCGGAAGATGAAAAGGAGGCCTTTCTAAAAGTGCCAATTAAATGTATACTTTTAAGTATTGACAGCTTATAATACCAATTTTATTAAATTTTTTCTCAACATTTCCGACCTCCCAACTTCTGAACAGTAGCCCAGAAAATGTAGACGACGATGAGCACATCGAGCACGAAAAGCACTTTGCCGACGCGGTCAAAGGCCATTCTAGTAGCCACGTTTTAGAAAAAAGCTAAACTCATCCCACTGACCTCACCAAGGCTTTGACAGAGAATGATATATTTTTATGCCTACTTTTTTGTATAATATGGAATTTATGCAAATAAATAAATTTGAGGCGCAGTAGCCTTTTTTTAGGGCTCTCCGGATACCTTTCAGATCTACTTTTATTGGATTTCCAAACATTCCCAAATTCCAAACTTTCATAATTTTTCTAGGGTTTCTTTTTCACCATTTCTTGGAATTACCGTAGCCATTCCCCTTTTCCTTTCCGCCCCAAATATACCTCGCGTAATGCCGTTTGGATCAGTGTCGATAGTAGCGCGCCGTTTTTCCTAACTGCTCTTCGAAAGGATCGGCTTCTTCTTTCCAAAGTATTCTTGATTGGAACAATAAAATTAAAACTATCTTTTCTAGATGGAAGATGTTCGAACAACCGAGCTTCATGTTGTTGAGGGTACCTTACGCCACGAATTTCATCGCTCCCGATTAAAAGTAAGGGTTTTAAATTCAGCCTCGTTCCTGTTCCTCTTAAAAAAGGGCTTATTGGTCTAAAAACATGTTTACAGGCCAATTGCGTCGCGTGGAACCCGGTACACCACGATTTATTCGCCTACAGCCCGCAAAAGGACCACGTCGTGCTGAAGCGCAAGGGCCAAACGTACCCATGCTGGAAGTCGAGCATCAACAGCATGGCCCGCGCCTTCTTCTTTGTCGCCCCGAACTCGTACACGGTATGGAAAAGTAGTGATATTTGATATTTATGAATTTTTAGATAAAACACCTCGTCTGGAGCCCCGATGGTGATGTCCTCTGTTTGGCGACCGATCAAGGAGAAATTTTTCTTTTGGATACAGAATGTGGGCATCTGCTTTTTGCGTGGAAGTGAGTTAAAAACATTGTGATATAATTTATTTTCAGGGTGATCCCGGTTGACGAACAGGACAAAACTGTTGTCAACGTGAAATGGGAGGCCGGCAAAAACTACAGCACAAATGGCGAGCCCTGCAGGTTTCGCGGCGGCCTGCTTGGCGATGATTTGGATTGGATTCCGGAGGTTTGAACGCGAAGTGAATTAAAACTATTTTCCCAGAAACAAGCGGTGAAATCCCTTGAGGAGCGGTCTCGGCGAAAAATTATCGAGGGTTTCGAGTTTTTGAAGGTCTTTAATCGGTAGGCGCTTCTGATTTCGCCAAAACTATTAGTTCTATTTAGGTCAATGCGCAACTCTTTCCTTCTCATCCAGCTCAACGACTTTTCGGTGATCGTGCTCTCGGGCGGTGTGATGCAAATAGCTGTCGTGCAGCCGCCACAGGAATTTTTCGGTGGATTTTGAAATTAGCAAAATATAAATCATTTAGATTCGCAGCAACTCTATTTGGCGGACGTTGAAGATTTTACGTTAATCCAAGGCACGTCGAGCTCGGAAAACGGATATACGGTATATTAGTAATTTGAAAAGGCCATTTTTCCGTTTTAGATGGTGTTCACCTGTTTCTCGCAAGGATTTCCACCGGCCTGTTCGTCTGGGCAAAAATACGGTACATTCCTGCATCTACAAAACGTCAATTTTTAGGATATCCCCTACAAGAACCTACGGCCGAAAAGCCCGAACCTACTTCCATTTCTCATTTGCTAGGGGTAGCGCTTGATACGAATCGGATAGCCGAGGAACAGCTCGAAAAGCTTGGATTTAGGTAAGCAAGTTACTAAAAGCAATAAATCGTTTTCCAGTTTCGTCCGAATCTACATTTTTTACTACACCCTGCTCGAGGTCTATCACTCTTTCCACGCTGGCTGGGACCACGAACTTGAGGTGGGTTTCAGAGATTTTTGATTTTACAGTCAATTCCTTCAGAAGCTCAACTCCAAATTCAACCACGGTGACGCTGAATTTGTTCGATTTGGCGAGGAGTTGCTGGGAGCGCTATATTTGGGCTTGGATTCAAAGGTTTTCCGTTTTTCATGAGTTTTTTAGCCATTTTTGCAGAGTCAACTTTTCTTCGAACGCGCATTTGGCGCCCCAACGACCAAGGAATTTGTGGATTTGTTGGAGAAGAGATTGCAGTATGTTATTTGTTTTTTCTGAATTTTTCTATTTTAGAAAACTCCTTGGCTGGCTGCCGTCCGCGCTGATCCCATTTTCTGAGGCGGTTATGTGCGAGTCGACGGCGTTTGTGCAGATTATGGAGAATATACTGGCTTCGGCGAAAAAGCCGAACCCTAGGGAGTAAGTTTTGGAACTGCCAAGCCGTATTAAATGTTTTTAGCTTCTTCGTGAACCTGGCCAACTCAATCTACAGCCCGGAAAGAAGCTCGATTCCACAGCCAAGCGTCGATCCGCGCGAGGAATGGGCCGCTCGACTTGTAGATGCAAGTGAGAAGTTGGTGGTGTCGACGAGGAATTTGCACAACGCTTGTAAGCAAAATTGGTGAGTGTACAAACTTTTTGCTGCAATTTCTGATTTAGCGATGACATCGAGATGGTCATCGGCGTCATCGTGCGCTACAGCTTGTAAGGGAATCAATTAATTTTAATATTTCATTTCTTTAGCCGCGACATTCACAACTTATTGTCCCTCGAGCCGTGCCTTTCCGATCTTACTGGACGCGGGACAAAGCTGCAGAAGATGGCGCAGCACTGTTTATTGTCATATTCGGCATACGATCCGCTTGATGCCGCAGAGGTAGAAAAATTAAACTAATAAATTTAAAGTTAGAGATACGCATTAAAGTTAAGATCAGAAGTTAACTAATAATTATAGTCGCTGCTTCGCCTTTTCTTCAAGCCCGAAGAAGCCGCCCGGCTTCGCATCGACCCAACTGCCGCCGAATTGCCATCCGCTCAATTGTCGTGCCTCCCGTTCGTTGAGGGCAAGGCTTGTCCTGTGACCTCCGAACAGCTGCCGCCCCGCGAAGCGGTTGATTTGAATCACGTAATGTTAATTGATAGATTATCACACCTGTTTTTAGCTCTCCGGCTACTTGAGCGAAGACGCGTCGACCTCGATTTACGGCGACACCAGCTTGCCTACAGTAAAGGCGGCCGTAGACTTGACGGCCAACACTCTCATCTTTGCCCAATCGACCGTACTTTCAAAGAAATTCAACGCGCACAAAGTGGTGAGAATACGGCAAATTTGGTATTTACCTGAAATTTTTAGGATTGGATCCACGAAATTGCGCGGGGCACCGATTTGGTGTTTGGACGAGAAGGGATGAAGCTTTTGAAAATATCGAGGCCCGGCGAGCGGTATGTGGTTTATTTAATTGCTTTTTTATGTTTTTTAGCGATGAGCTTCGGATCTGCGCCATCCAAAAAGGGAGGCGGGCTATCTTTTCGAGCAAGGTTTGGAAGGGCGAGGAGAAACAGGCGAAGCCGGATGTGATTATCGAGTTCGGCAAGGAGAATATGGTATTTGGCCGAAAAATTACATTTATCGGGCCACCTTTACAAGGAGTGCCTTCTGGGTGTCATCGGCAAATCCCTTCGAGACCTAGCTCATTCGATAGAGAATTTGATTCTGAACAAAACCCCATTGTTCTTTTTTGCAGAATGGCTTTCCCCGATTTTATAAAATTTTAAAACTGCACCCAAAAGCCTCCTTTTTGGCTCGAAAGGCACTCATGGTAAGAGACGGCCACTAGTATTTTAATTTTATAAAATCAGGGATAGTCATTCTGCAAAAAAGAACAAGGGGGTTTTGTTCAGAATCGATTTCTCTATCGCATGAGCTAGGTCTCGAAAGGATTTGCCGATGACACCCAAAAGGCACTCCTTGTTAGGACATTACCACTCGGTCCGACGCCGCCGATGAGCCGACGCTAATTTTGGGCATCGATATGTTTGTGCCAACCGAGAAGGGTAAGATGAAGCGTATAGTTCACCTCGTTTTTTTTCCTAGGCGCCGTCGTGTCGGTGGAAATTGGGCCTCGCGTGGGCACGGTCAGCGAGCGGCGGCTGTGTCATTTGGATTTCGACGCCGGGCGGTTGACGACTTATTCGGTTGGTCATGTTTTACAATTTTTATTGCTTTTTCAGTCCCAACGCCTCGATGAAAGCACCGAAACGCTGGCTGCCTGCACGAAGGGATGCGGGAACTGCCTGCTCATCGCCGACCAGGGCCACCGCTTCTGTGTCACCGAATTGCCGACGAAAATTCCGGAAGTAGCGGAGCCCGTTGATGAACCCATGTGAAGCTCATTTTTCTGATCTCTCATTGTCTTATTCAATTTGTGTCCTTTCCACCCGATGATGATCTTTGGCCAACCGTGCTGTCAAATGCCTGAATTTGCGTGTCATTTTTTGCTCATGTTGCTCAGATTTTACAGTGTATAAATAGGGGATGCCTTAAATTAATATCGGACCCGAATTGCGGGGCGTTTACGCACTGAACAATTTATTGACACTCAGGCGTGCACAAATATCATGGTGAATCGAGGTTGGGCGGGTAGTGGCGAGTTCCCGGAATCAGATCTTCTTGTGGCGCCACACGCGGCACTTCTTCTCCGGGTTCATCGGCGAGTTCAGCTAGAAATTTTGTATTTTTGAAAAGTTTCTTTTCCTTACCGGACACTTGTAAGCGCGGGAAAAGTCCTTCGAGTTTTTCATCATCTGAAAGAGCCCGTTTTTTAATAATTTTAGTGCTTATAAAAACCTCGTTGACACGAATGTAGCCAATCGGATGCTCGTCCGCCATGTACCCCTCAAGATCGCCATCGCTGTGCTCGCCACAGTGGAACTAAAGCGTAAATGAGTTAATATATATCATTGTTTTAGCAAACCATAGCCGTCGCCACAAAATAGAGCTGATCCGGGGTGTAGGCGTCGAGTCCGGGAAGCTTTGGCTCGGCCCGGCCGTAGAGGCGCCTCCGCTCGTTGCGGTAGGCCTAAATTTGTAATTTATCGAGGTTTTTAGCGATTTTAATTAGGGAAACGAAACTTACGCGAAAAGCCGCCCTGAGGCTGCATTATCAGCCACGGTTTCTTCGTGTGTTTGGTTGCCGGGTTGCTGAAATGTTTTGGCGTACCGGAGCGTGGCGATTTTTTTGTACGTTAAAAGTAGAAAGTAGAAAGTAATTGTTTAAGCAGTAGTAGCAAGTGTTTTCATAGTGTTTTTAATCATGGCTACTACGCTCCAATTCGAAAACTTGAAGACTTCAAAATGTCGAAGATTTCGTCAAAAATCCATGGTTTCTCGCCGTGAATCATTTTTGTTTTTATTTGTAAAGTTTTTACGTTGCATTATGTAAAATTCCAGTACCTACCCTAAAGGTGTGATTCGACGAGACGATGGGAAAAGGTGGCGTTCCCGTACTGATGATCGATACACTCGACTTGTTCGGCGAATTGACCCTCGTCCTCATCGCCGGCGAGCACCTGCGTGTCGCGATTGATCCCTGAAATCATTTAGGTTTTGGAATATCTGAGTTTTATTCCAGGCTTAATAAAATTACAAATTCTGCCCACATCCCGGATCAATGGTGTGCGCGATCTCGTGGGCGATGATGAACCCGAGCGCGCCGTACTGCAACTCGAGCGCCGCGTCGACGTGGTATAGTGGCGGCGTCAGCAGCGCCCAATGGAAACCTAGAGTGTGCCAGTTCTTAGGAAAGTATTGTTTTTGGACATACGCAGGGAGTAGAAGTCGTTGATCGCCTCCGGGCGGGCCTGAGATTCTTCTTGGGAGTGCTAAAGCGGGTTTTAACTTTTTTCAAAAAAAATAGCTAATTACCTAAACCGGCCGGCCGACGCCCAAGTTTTTTTTTTTGTGGCGAATTTTTGCCGCAGGAAGCATGAAAAGCGGAAACGCTCACATTGTAGTGCAGGAAACCATCGAAGTGCTTGACCTTTTGCTGGAAGGCGTACCAGCTGTCGGCGGTGGCGGGGAACTGAATTCATTGTAGTTTGTAGTCTGTTAAAATTCCGGCTACATCTCGGTAATACTCGTCGACGAGCGAACGGGACCAGGGGGTCCAGTCCGGGCCGACGAACACCTCGACGTTGGCGACCTAGAATGATTTTTACGAGTATGCCAGATGCTTACATGTCTTTTTTAAGGTAGCTACTACGCTATGATAACTAGAAACAAAAAAAAAACGCATATACCGTACGTTACTATACCTTTTCAATAGCATTCTTCTGGGTTTCCGCATCGGCCCACGGGCTCTCACGGATGATCTCTTGGAATGCGGCGAGCAATTTTTCGTGTAGTACCTTAACAATTAAGCTGAATCTTATCAAAAGATCCTAGTAAATAAAAATACATATTTTTCAAAATGTTACATGAACACTCTCGAAATCCTGCTGCCGGTAGTGACGCTCGAGGAGGATGATGTCCTTCCAGCGTGGATGCGATTTTAAGATCTAAATCTTCGAAATTCAGTTTTTTGAACTTTATTAACTTACCTTATCCAGGCAGTACGTATCCAGCGGCTTGTAGTCGTAGGGCGAGCTGTAGGTCTGGGATAGGTAGTAAAGCCGTGGATTGAAAAAAACGATACCTTTCGAATGGTCTCATAGTCGTTTCCCAAGGGTCGGCAGTTGGTCGAGGAACCATTGGATGACCAGCGCTTCCCTGGCCTCTTCCTGGTGATCTTCGAGGTAGCGATTGAGCTGACAAATTCTATTAAATGGCATACCTGGATGAAATTTGATTAAACTATCTAAAACTCATCAAAAAAATATGTGTTTTAGCTGAAAATCTTCAAAAAACCCATTTTTGAGTTTTGCAAACAAAATGTGTAGTTTTACACCTACGAGCAGTCAAAAAAAAAAAGACATTTTCTCGATATCTTTCTAGTTTTCGCCTCACATCCTCAAAATATTGCTCCGGGATCAGGGCGATTCGATCCCGGTTGAGTTTGAAGATCGGGTAGCCATTCCGGAAAAAGGTGAAGAGCGGGATCTGATAGCAAATTTTCAAAATGTGAGCACGAGCTCACATTTGGGTATTGTGTCCGCGACCTCCGCCGACGGGTGAAACCGCCCTTCGTCGATTTCGAGGAATTCGCCCGGACCTAGAAGCAAGGATTTGGTAGATGCTCAAAACGTGCCTCCTCCAGCCCTTCCACGAAGTTCGTGTAGGAGTCGAGGCCGTGCTCAGGTCATCGTCGTCGAGTGGGAAGTAGCTCTCGCCAAAGTCGTAGGCAAGCTTCTTGGCGATCTAGAAAATCATTAAATTGATCTCTAGATAGATCTCTATCTCTCTCTCTCTCTCTCTCTCTCTCTCTCTCTCTCTCTCTCCCTCCTAACCGACCTGTTTGACCAGCTCGCGCCTCGCAATATCACCCCCGCTTTGGCTCCTGATGCACTCCGCCTTGTAAACCATTTCCTTCCGGCGCTTCCTTGTCCGGTTTCGGTACGCGTAGTAGAACGGGTTGCTGAGCCCGCCGGTCAGCTCGATCAGCTTCTCCAGGCTGGGGCGCGATTTGGCGGCAAATGGGGGTCCTCCCATAGCGTCGACAGCGTCGCGGGAGGCCTCTAGAAAAATGGAGAATTTAGGCTTTGAATATTTGGTCGATGAGGTTTAGAAAACCCACGCAATCCCATTCTCGCCCGTCTCCATGCACAGCTTGTAGGCGTTGTAGACGCGCTTGTCGGCCACGGTCGCCGTGTCGTTCCAGGGGACGTTGTTCAGGAAGGCTGTAACAATGCATATATTTCTCTCCTCCCTCCCTCTCTCTCTCTCTC